TTTTTACTCAAAGGCGTTGATGCGTGTTAGCGCACTTTTGATTAAATAATACAACTCGTGTATTTTACTATTTACTATTTATTTGGAACTACAACTATTTTGATTTAATGTTTGTATGTATTGTTGCTTTCGGTTGCAAGACTAGTACTACGTTCTTGGTCCCTGGTCTCATCCGGGGTTGGTAGTGGAGGGTGGTGGGGTGTTGCTGTTGTACAGTACTGTACAGGCGTCCTAAACTGGGGGGTTTAGGGTAAAAGTACCCTAACTATTTTGGCTATTGGTTTGTGCCACTTTCAGCCACAAAATTCTAAATTTCATAATAAAGAGGTCTCTTGCGTTTTTTCGATACAACTTACCGTTTTTAAGTAAAATCAGTTTACAATTTGTCTTACAGACCATAAAGACGATAAAAATTAAAAATTAAATTTGTTTCACCGTTTAAGACGCCCGTGATTAAAAATTTTGGCAACTGATCTTTGAATTTGTTCAGGTGTTATCAGCTGCACCAACTTTTGTAATTTTATCTATTCTGCAATAGTGGAAAACTCCATTAAAAAACGCATTTCTTTCAGAGGTGAAGCTCGCTTACATTTTTTGATACATGTTCACAGGAAATTTTTGTCTTAAAATTGAATATTCTATTACCTGTTTAGATATGTAACAATAAAAACGGAACACCCTGAATATTCACACAAATTTGAAGGTTAACACGTTGACTACCGCAATGTTAAAAAAAAGTGAGCTGTTCCAGCCAAAACTTTTTTTCTTTTCTCTTACACTATCTTATCTTTTCAAAGCTGCTGACAATTTTTATTTACAAAAATTATTTGTTTATAACAATATTTTGAATGAGACTCACCTTTTGTGTCACGTGGCCTCAAGGGTTATTTTTACCTTAAAAGCCGCGAGTACCCAACGTGGTTCCTCGCAACGTCTGGCTCAACTTGTCTTAACTAGTATTCCTGACTGATGCTGGTTCGTGGTTACTTGTTAGTAATGACAGTACAGTGTCTCTAAGCTGACATAAATATAGTTGAATCTGTTTATGTTGAAAAATTAAAAAAATGAGTTTCGAAGAAGAGCAAAAGCGTTTGCAGCAGCTATGGCAGGTAGGATAACAAAATAAATTATGTAGTGAATGCTGCAAGTGTTAACATTTAGGAAAGTTTGTCTGACGAAGATGACAATCAAAGTTTATTTGGTGAATCCTCGGATGAATACGTTCCGAGTAACGAAAACGAATCTGACGAATTCTCCGATGACTTCGATAGGACACCTATACAGAAGCGTCCCAAAATTGATAATATCACTGTCAATGCTCGAAATGTGCCAAAACCAAGTTGTTCAAGTGTATCGGACATAAGTGACTCGGTATTACAAACAATTGAGCGAGTTATTGAGGAAAATGCGTGTGTTAGCAGCAGTGATGATGAAGAGGTTCCAGATGATGACAGTCTGACTTGGGATCGCGTAACAGGATTAAATCTGAAGAACTTTGTATTCACAGAACCCAATCCAGGAATAAGTGCCGAAATCTATGAAAACTACTATACAAAATCACCACTTGATTTTTATGAATTATTTTTGGACGAAAATATTCTCATTATGATGGTAACTGAAACAAACCGATATGCAGCTCAATGTAAAGCTAAACAAAATGCACCTAAAGCTAGAATTCAAGATTGGCATAATACAGATGTTGAAGAAATGTTGTGGATAGGACTTATTTAATACCCAAGCATTGAATCATATTGGTCAAAAATGCCAATATATCAGAATGTGATAAAGTCTGTTATGTCTCGAAACCGATTTCAAATACTACTTAAAATGTGGCATTTTAGCAATAATGAAATTGTAACTGAAGACAGATTGCAAAAAATATCTCCGCTGATACATATGCTTATCCAAAATTTTCAACGATATAACACACCAAAAGAAGCTATCTGCATTGACGAGACTCGTTCCATTTAGAGGACGCCTATCCTTTCGAATCAAAACTGTGTATTGAAAAAGGTTATACGTACAACCTAAAAGTTTATTGTGGCAGAGACAAGGTACAGGGACAGTCATCATCTGAAAATGTAGTGCTTTCTCTAGCAAATAACTTACTTGATAAGGGACGCACAATTTATACCGACAATTATTATACAAGTATACATTTGGCACATGCTTTACTGAAAAAAAATACTCACTTGGTAGGAACTCTCCGATCAAATAGAAAATTGAATCCAAAGGAAGTAACGGAAAAAAAAATAAAGAAAGGAGAAATGGTCGCCGTTGAAAGTAATTCTGGCGTGGTAGTTCAGAAATGGAAAGATAAACGGGACGTGCTTACTTTATCGACAAAACACACTGACGAGTTAGTGAAAATTACATGTGGTCGTAAAGAAAGTGAAAAACCAATTGCGATTATTGATTATAATAAACATAAAGCCTACATTGATTTGTCAGATCAAATGAAAGCTTACGCAACATCTTTGCGAAGAGGAGTAAAGTGGTATCGCAAACTAGCGATTGAGCTTATTGTTGGGAGTGCGCTGGTGAATGCATACATACTACATCAAGAAGTGGCAAATGAAAAAATGACAATAACGAAATTCAAGGAGGAGGTAGCTACTACGCTTTTACAAGTTGATTTACAAGGACCACGTACAGAATCAGTCAGTGAAATTCAACATACTTTAGAAGATGCTGGTCGCAATGGTAGACGTCGATGTGTCGTATGTTATGAAAAAATTCAAACCCAATTTGGACGAGCACGTGCTCAAAGCAAAACACCTCGCACAAAATTCAAATGTAATCAGTGTGACAAACATTATTGCTTAGACTGCTTTTTTTCAGTACATAAATGCACAAATTAATTTTTTTGTATAATTTCTATAACATAACTAAGTTCTTATAATCTTACACAGATAAAGTTTGTTTTATTTTTGTATTTCAGTTAATAAAAATGTTTTCTTTTTCTTTCGTACATATTTTTTAAGTTGAAGCCACGTGGAGCCGCTGGTGGGTCTCAGAAAACTAAAACTCGACACTTACAGCCAAGCTCTCGAGTTGCCAGAGAATTTACACGGCAGCGAGACGCAAACGTTGGCTCACACAGCGTTTCAGACGAACAGTTACCGAGACATACATGTTGTGTCACATGGCCGATAATGACAGTACATTGAGACGCCACTTTTATGTCTCACGGCAGTCAACGTGTTAATATAAAATAAAAATAAATGTGTTGTGGTAAAAAATTATCAGCAAATTATAATTTTCAGTAAGAAACGAAACGTATAACTCACATTGTCTTCAAATGGTCGCGTATTAAACAAAATGTTTGAATTTTTTTGGTACGATTACCTTATTTTCATCGTTGTCCTAAGTGTTAGTGCTTTGATCGGAGTTTATTATGGCTTTTTCGGAACCAAACAAAAAACTATTAATGAGTACTTATATGGAGGAAAAAAAATGAGCGTTTTTCCAGTAGGAATTTCTCTTGCCGTGAGGTAAATTTTAAAACTTTCCCACATCAAAAAATTGCATTTTATTTGTAGTCACTTTTCGGCCACAATACTCATAGCAGTGCCGGCAGAAATTTACAAATTTGGAGCGTTTACTACTGTATACTACTGTTACTATGGTTTTGTTGGGCTTTATAACTGTCTACATTTTTCTACCAGTATTTTTCAACCTGCAAATTACATGCGTTTACGAATACTTAGAAAAGAGATTTGACAGTAAAACCCGATTATTAGCTTCACTATTTTTTGTACTTTCGGAAATAATGGGAGTTTCCATTTGTCTCTACTCTCCAGCTTTGGCCCTTTCAATTGGTAAAAAAAATATTATTGCATTTACAGGGTGTTTCAAGTAAATGGTCTATAGGTTTTAAAGGGACAGGGTGGATTGCGCTCAGTTATCGAAACAGGTATAATGAGGTTAATAAGGGTTGCTCATCCTTAAGGTGAACTGCGATCAGTAGCATCACATTGGGGTACCTACACATGAGTTGGTGCTTCTAACTTTCAGGAAGCACTTCTTCGGGTGCACTTTTTATTGACCTATTCCCGCCGGCACTTGATATTATTTTCTGGAATGCGAGTTCTGATATATATTAACAGGTATGTTTTAATTAAAAAAAATATTGAAAAAGAAGCAAATAGATCGATCCACTTTTGTGAAATGTCTATCTCATAGGTTTTTTGCGCGATTAGACTCTATTTGATTGTTTACTACGTCTGTTTCCAAGACAGTAAGTTGTATTTACTCGTTGCTATCCCTAACCCGTCGGTGAGGATTTTTGTTTATTGTTGCTAAGTCGGTAAGCATTCAAAAATACTTTGGTGTTCTAGAATATTTTTTAGATATTTTATTAAAAAAACTAACAAAAATCAACCGCGCAAAAAGTTCATAAGCATCACGAGGTTACCGTTCTTGGTACTATAACCAAATTTTTTAAAACACTGTTATAAAGTACCGATACATATTTGTGTTCAGTAAATAATTAATAACCTATTTCGTTTTTGTTTATTTTGAAATGCAAAGTAGATACATTTTTGCAACTGGTGCATCCCTATTTTCATTAGCATGGGATTTTAATTTTTAACAATTTAATTCTTTAGGTCACACTGAGACATATCGACCGACCTGAGCGCAGTTCATATAGGGATTAACGCAACGCAGGTAAGTAAAAATTCTCTGGGCGCAGTCCACTGTAGGGATTATAAAATGCCGTGCTTGAAATGAGCGCAATTCATTAGCACCCGTTTTAAGGTATTTAGCAATTTCTTGCATTAACAATATTTGAATTGCCAAAAATAATGTTTATTTAATTTGTGTAATTCTTTTGGGACTTTACATATCTTCTGAATGCGTTTCTGAATGCTTCACTGAGGTATCTTCTTTTATTTTAAGGAAGAACAAAATAAATTTTAATAATTCTAGCACAATTTCGTCAAGTTTAAACTCAATTTCCGGCGTCATTTATAATGATTTTGTTACAAAATTTATAAAAAGTGAAATTTCTGAAAAAACAGCTGGGTATATTTTACGAATCATTGTGGTTATTGCTGGTATTTTACTTCTTTCGATTGCTTACATTGTAGAGCTCTTAGGTGATATTTTTCCTTTAGTCATGAGTGTGACTGCAGTTGTAGATGGACCGGCGGTTGGTTTATTTGCATCAGGAGTGTTGATTCCAAAAATGAATGCCAAGGTAAAATTAATGCGAGTTTTTTTGCAATTATAATCAAAATTTTAGGGAGCTTTTGGTGGAGCTATTTTGCCCGGTATTATCCAAGCAATGATAATAATTATTTCAAAAATATATTTCTTTAATAAAGCAATTGTTACAATTCATAAACCTTTGTTAATCGATGGATGTGATAATCAAACGATTTGGACAAACTCTTCTCTAATTAGCCTTAACAATACTTCACATGACTTAACAACAGGGTATAAATTAATGATGAATGATGAAAATTGATTCTTTTTTTATTTTTTAGGAGCAAACCATTTTTTATTTTTCGTCTTTCACATAACTACCAGTGTTTATTTGGAGCAGTTGTAATGATAATTATCGGTGTAATTATAAGTCATTTCGCCAAGAAGGATAATCTACCAGTTGACAAAATGTTATTCAGTCCTGTTATTCATCGATTTCTATCTGAAACTTCAAGAGTTACAAGAACTTATGGCAGGTCACAAAAAAAAATGGAATGAAACAAAATAATAATTTTGTTCCACTAATTACATTAATTAAAGTATTGTAACTTTGCAGTTTGAATTCAATGGAGGCATTTAAAAATAATTCATAATAATTCAACTTAAACTGAGAAAATTGTTCATAACGTGTGATTGTCATACTTTAAGACACTTTTTAAAATAACCCTACGTTGCGTCTCGAAACCTTACAACACTGCTGAATTGACAATGGTATTGGACCCTTGGTCTCTTTAATGGGCAAAAACCGTTCTTTTTCGGCAAGCTTCTTTCTAACGCCCTGTTCAAGTGGAAGCATTGTTACTTATTAGCTACCGCGACTTTGGTGATCACTGCCCGAAGTTTAACTTTTCACCTCGCGTTACAAAAAAAAAAAACTAAACATTTTACCAGACGAATCATCCATTAAAAAATGAACAAACTCCTTACAAATTAACAAGAATCATGATTTATATGATGAAAACAACATACAAAACCTAATTTGCGTGTAATATCGATACAGAATTTATTTTTGTTGTAAGTCACGTCTTGCTCAATCTTAGTCACCGTATTCACATCGGCAGCCTTCTCCAAGCGAAGCTCCCCTCGACGACGCTTCCTTCTTTTTCCCGCTAGGAAGCCCCCGCGTGTAGACGACATCATGAAAGTTTAAAATTTATGCAATGTCCAAAACATATAAAAAAAATCGTTTGCTAAGACCTACTAAAAACTTTATGACACATTATAAGGGATTAACCAAACAATGGCTTGAATTTGTAACCCTCCATAATTGGCACGTTCCTTTGCAAGTGTTGCTGCACCCACAGAACAAAACAGGGCCGTATTTAAAACCAAAGTAGTGGTGTAGGGGCAAGCAAGGTGGGGTAATGACGAACGGACACTCTTGCTTGCCCCTCCGAAGTGTTTGTGTGTAAATAAACTATCATTGTTGGGAAAGTGTAGTTTCATTTTAAAGACATCACATTGGTGACGAGGACGATAAATAACAACCCACAGAAGAGAGGGAGAAGAGCAGTTATCGCCAGAGACAGCAAAGGGACAATCAACCAGGGACGTCACATGATCGTCAATTGAGGTGTCCAGCATGTGGAAAAAATCACTTTAAAGATAAGTGTTTTCACAAAAATACTGCATGTTTTTTATGTAAAAAAAGAGGTCATTTGGCAGCGTTTTGTAAGAATTTTGAAAGTAAGGAGCATAGTAGGGCAGTTAATTACAAGATTCAGGATTCAGAGGCTAGTAGCGCAGACGATGATCAGTTATCATTGTATAAAATTCAAAGTAACGGAATAGCTCCACATTATGTAACGTTGCAAATATTAGACAGTTTGAGCAGTTTGAAATTGATTCCGGATCTAGCGTTTCAGTGATTTTGTAGAAAATTTTGTCAAGGTTAAAACTGTAAATCAGATAAAAGTTTGTCATTTTATTACAAGACCAGGGTAAAACCTATTTAAAAAGAGTTAAGGTTATGTATAACGGAGTTGATAACTATGTATTTAGATTTTTATGTTATGGAAAACGATGGCCCACCGATTGCTACTCGTGACTTTTTAGAGAAAAATAAAATGAGGTTTATACAAGTAAATTACGTCAATAATGATGATGACAATGTGGGGGTGCACTGAAGGCCGAGTTTGATAAAATATTTTCAACCGAACTAGGTTGAAGGAGAAAGTTAGTATTAAATTAAAAAATCCAAACACTTCCTCAAACTTTGAGGAAATTCAAAAAATTACGTTAGAAGATCGGGAACTACAAAAAATTGTAAAATTAGTTAACGAGGGAAATTGGCCCAAATGTCCACTAAATTCGGAAATTAACAATTATAGATCTTATAATAACAAAAGGTTAGAACTGTATTTATAAAGCGTGTCCCAACGGGAACTTGGGGATTTAAATTCTAAATAACATGCGTAGTATTTAGAAATCCAACGATTTATTAAGATAAACATAAAGTAAAAACCTTAAAATTATATGTGGAACAAGATATCGGATAAATGTCCACCGCGATTCCTTTTGCACACAGCGATTCCTTTTTTTAAATTTTCGATTACTTTATCACAGATATGCAAATTAATTTCAGCAATAGTCGCACGAATGTTATTTTTTAATTCATCAATCGTCTGTGGATTATTTGTATAGACTTGATCTTTAAGAAAACCCCAAAGAAAAAATTCCAGCGGTGTTAAGTCGCAAGATCTTGCAGGCCACTTCACGTCACCATTACGGGAAATCATACGACCAGGGAATTTCTCCTGCAGTAAATTTAGAGTTTCCCTAGCAGTGTGGCAAGTGGCCCCATCTTGTTGAAAGTAAAGATTGTTGAGGTCCATATCTTCCAAACGTGGCCATAGAAAATTATTCAACATGTGTCGATACCGCTCCCCATTGACAGTTTCTGCTTCTCCATTCTCATTTTCAAAGAAGTTAGGTCCAAGAACACCGTTGGCCGAGAAACCGCACCATACGGTGATACGTAGTGGGTGCATGGGTTTTCCAATAATCTCGCGAGGATTTTCGAAATATTAATTTTTTGGGACAATTTTTTTTGTATTACGTCGCCACAAATCTTTATTAATTCATTTTGAATTTTTGGTTTTTTGGTGCGCTATTGAAAAGTTGAGCTAGATTATTATCGTTTGAAACTCGCATTCTCAATATGGCACGAAAGTTACCGTCATTTAATGTCGGCTCTGTTTTGTCGAATTCTAATGGTCCAGAATCTTTAGTACCCCGAAGTGCTAACTCTTGACGACCACATAACTTTATGACATCTATTATTGCTGATAGTCTCTTAATGGATTTTTGTTTAGAGACGTCCAAAGTATTTCTGATGTCAGGTAATTCTTTTCTATATACTCTTAAAAAGTGATCAGATTTAACAACATTTTCTAAATGGTATTTATTTTGAGAATGTCCACTAAATTTTTCGATAGCCTTCTTAGGGGTTGAACTCCCTAACACCCCCGCCCCCCCTTGGGTACTGTCTTGCAATTCACACTTTAGCCAAAGTGTTGAAGCGTCTTGGTTTTAGGTAAATGATTTTTTTCTTGTTTGCCTATGACTCTTCTTGTCACTATTTAGTGGTAGCTATTTCTAACTTAAAAAATCTTTACTCTTGCCTAATCCTAATTTCCATACTTAAATGAAATAGACCTTATCGAAATTTCGGTTGAAAAAGTATGGAAAAACCAAAGATAATCCAAAGATTTTAATGGAGAGTCACGAAATTAGGCGCAAAAGAATTGTTTACTTAAAAAATGAATGCAGTATAGGGCAGAGGGTCGACCTATTGTTTACACCGATGAGACCTATATAAATAGCGACCACACCACTCCAAAATAATGGTATGATGATACTAAGCTAGGTTTACGGAAACCTGTAGCCAAGGGACGAAGACTAATCGTTCATGCGGGGAACGAGTCTGGTTTTGTCCCCAATTCTTTACTCATTTTTACCTCAGATATGTAAGTACATAAACATAATAAACAACGCTAAATAAATCGTTGCAGGCTCAAAAACCGGAGGAAATGAATTGGGCCAATTTTGTGAAAACCCAATTGTTTTGGTGTGCAAAACGCAAATAAAAAATATAGGCAGATAGAGCATTAAATTCTCAATAATAAGAGATAAAGGTAATGCAAAAATTTTATTGAAAACTACAGGGATGTTCCATTTTTATAGTTACAAATTTAACCAGGTGATAGAATATTCAATTTTAAGATAAAAGTTTCCTATAAACATATATCGAAAAATTTTATATAAGGGAGCCACATCCCCTGAAAGGGGTGCATCTTTTAATAGATTTTTTCCAATATTTCAGAAACCATCGTAGATAAAATTAAAAGTAGTAATTAGTATTTAATTGCTGATACTTAGTTGTACATAGTAAGTAGGTAGTTAGTAATATCATTTATTTTATAATATTTAAGAATTCTGTATCGATTCCAAAAAAATGGGTAAGAGCAAAGGAATGTTATGTGCAGTGAAAAATTGCACGTCATCTTTTTATGAAAATAACGTTAGTTTTTTTAGATTTCCACTGAACGATTTCGACAGGTTCGAAAAATAGAAAGTTGTTGTGGACGAGAGGAAATCATGCTGCAGAATCCTGGGCAACTTCTGAATTTCAGGGTTTGTGGTTTGCATTTTGACAAAAAATGCATCCACAATAAACGGTTAACATCTACAGCTGTGCCTACATTGAATTTGTTTCAGGAAATTTCAGTGAGACTCGATTACGATTACTTCCTAAATGAAGACGAGATCTTTGCTGGGAGGTATATCGAGGTAGAGTCTCCAGCCACGAGTTGTGAAATAGGCACCCAAACCGAGTCGGAGATGGACATCCAAACCGAGTCGGAGCTGAAACACGCTGGGACTGATGAACAGTCTGAGCCATCCCAATGAACAACACAGACACAAACAGGTAGTGAACTTTCAGGGGGAACACCAAGGAAAAGGAAATTGAAGACAAAACTGAAGTCCCAAGGAGAACACGTGAAGAAGTTGAAGAGGAAACTAGAAACAGCGAACAAAACGTTGTAGGAAAACGAAGAAAACAAGAAGCTGGAAATCTCCGGAGAAGAATTCAAGACGGCGTTTGACAGGTTCTTGCCACCGCATTTCAGCAAGGCAGCCAAAGTGATCAGCAATTTGAAGAACAGACAACCGAAAGGAAGGCGATTCACATAGAAATTCAAATAGCACGCACTAGAATTGTACTTTGCAAGCCCCAGTGCGTATCGAGTAATGGTGAAAAAGTATCACTTTCCTTCAGTCAGAACTCTGCAGAGAATGACTGAAAATTTGCAATATTATCCAGGTTTTAATGATTTTATTTTTAGAAGCTTGCAGCTAAGACTGAATTATTATCACAATGAACGAAGTCTCGCTAAAAGCAAATTTGTTCTACGACCAGAAGAGAGTTCATCGGATTCCACGACATTGGCAAAGAAAAAGAATTCAAACCAGCGCAAAATGCGTTGGTTTTGATGGCAAAAGGAATTGAAGAAAATTGGAAACAGCTACTTCTTTGTCAATTCGACTTGCAAAGCCCAGGATTTGCAATCTATTGTTCACTACGAGAATGTGTCTGATGTGGGATCTAATTTTATTCTATTTCTACTTCTTCGACACCCCACACCTTGTGAAGTACATGAGGAACACCGTGCAACACACGGTCCAGTTTGATGGAAAAGAAGCATCATGGAAGTTCATTGAGGGGATGTTCAACCTGGAGAAGAACAAGAACCTGAGGATGGCACCAAAGTTGAGTGAAGCCCACGTTCACCCAACAAATTTCCAGAAGATGAAGGTGAAGTATGCGGCGCAAGTTCTCAGTTCCATAGTTTCGTCTGGTTGGTACAAAACTAAAAAAAAACAGTTGTATCAATGTTAATATTATAGCTCTTTCAACCTACATGGCCAGCGGAGAGATCCCCACCTTGGCTTTGGGAACAGCGGAGTTCATTGAAAAGATGGATCATCTTTTCGACATATTGAACTCCAGCACCCAAGCCTCGAAAAATCTTTTCCGAAGGCCATACAAGGGGACCCCGGAGCAGGAGACATTTCTGCGTGAAATGACGCAGTTTCTGAAAATAATTCGTATCTTCTCAGACACGAAACAAGTAAGAGAGAAGTCACGAATAGAATAAAAAGCATTAAATGTTTCCAGATCACAACCAAATCAACGATGGACCTGTCGGCAGAATTAAAAGAAGAGGGATGTCAAAACTTGAAGATAAGAACAATCAACCAGGACTGTTTGGAAAATTTCTTCGGGAACATTCGTCAGCAAGGTGGCAATTCAATAAATGCAACGCCAATTCAGTTTCTTCGAGCATTCAAGAAACTGTGTTGCGTAGATTTGTTGCAATGTGCCGACACATTCAACTGCGCCGAGGACGTGGACATCTTGTTGATGAACAACCTCCCGGAAAACATCGATATTTTTGTAGAAGAAGAAGACAGAACAGTTCCAAGCCACACAGAATCTTTTAAGGTGAAAGAAAGAATCATATGGGTTTTCCAATTTATAGATGTTTAAATTATAGATCACAAACACAGATTTTCGGAAAGACGATCTTCCGAAGAAAAACGTCATTCACTACATCAGTGGGTACCTGTTTGGGCAAGCACTCCTGTGCAACTTGCAAAGAGTACGCCACTGCGATGGATGAACTGGACGTTTCCACACTTTTCACGCACTTCAAGGGACACACAGAAAAATACGGTGGCACGGGTACTACTTTTGGGAAACTTTTAATGCCTGCAAAATCTTTTGTAGATTTCATCGAGAATTTGGAGAAGGCCCTCATGAAAAACACTCACTGGATTGCGTGCTCATCGAAAGTCCAGGATCACCTTGTTCGGGTTCTGAAAGAATTTCAATTTTCACACCCTTGCTGTAATTTTCCCTTTGAATATTTGTTAAGGATTTTTGCTAGGATGCGATGTTATTACATCCTCAAATATGCCAATAGGAACTTTACAGCCTCTTCGGTGAAACATCGAAAATTGATAATTCTTTCACATCGTTGAGCACAGAAAGAACAATTTTACAATTTTTAATGATAAGTATTGATCATTTTTGTTACGTAATCATTGTTTATTCATTTTTAGTATAACAAATGAATGCAGTGAAAAACCAACAGCAATGAAAAGTGACTCATCCATGCAATAGCCAATAAGATTGTAATTCCAACATTAAAAAAAGATAAGTTTTTGTACATTATTATTTAACATTTTTATATCACCTATTTCTAAAAATTTCAGACTAACAAAAACGAGTTGGAATTTCAGATATTAGGCGTTTTCTTAAAGATAAGTATTAATATTACTGGTCCTTATTTATTAATTTTTAGTATAACAATCTAAATAAATGCAGCGGCCATCAATGAAAACAGTGTCGTCCAACAAAATTGTAATCAAATTTAAAATGAAGGCAACTTTTACCTTAACCATTTACCTACTGGAAGCTATTTTCAAAGCAGCAAATTTCGTTGTAGTTATTCTAATAGTGTAATTAAACACTTATGAACACATTTCATAATAAACAGTTTTAAGGTTATGTTACACATTTTACTAGTAAAAGTAGTAAAAGTTTAGGGGATTCGGTTGGCAATATATGCAAAGTCCCAATAATCTCACCAAATAATCTAAACCAAATCATTCATAAATACGATCATAGTTTGATTTAGCCAATCACAGTCGACCCACCGAGGTCACGGCGACGCGGATTTTATTTTCATTCATGAATGGAAGCAGCTAATCTGTGGTTTTTCACAAAAAGAGGTCTCTTGCGTTTTTTCGATAACTTTTACCGTTTTTGAGTAAAATCAGTTTACAATTTGTCTTACAGACCATAAAGAGGATAAAAATTAAAATTATATCACTGTTTAAGAAACCCGTGATTAAAAATTTCGACAACTGATCTTTAAATTCGTTCAGGTGTTTAAAAGTAATCAGCTATACCAACTGTTGTAATTTTATCTATTCTGCAATAGTGGGAAAACCCCATTAAAAATGCATCTCTTTCAGGGGGTCTAGCTCGCTTACGTAACATTTTTTGATACATGTTCATAGGAAACTTTTGTCTTAGAATTGAATATTCTATCACCTTTTTAAGTTTATCACAATAAAAACGGAACGCCCTGTATATTTAAAAAAATTTCAAACATTTAGCAATTTGCTCATATTTTTGAAAATGCTGCGAATACGGTTAAAGATACAAGAAAAATATAAAAAAGAAAGTAGCAGAGAATAAAATTTTCAAGAAAAAAGTCCGCAAGATGATGTCTCTATCTTCAATGGTTTAGGTCCTAAAGACGCTCAAGCGACGAATACGGCTCATTTTTACCGGTGGTCAAGAGACAGAAAATTTATTTAAACCTAAACGGTTGAAGATACAGATATGGTCTCGCGGACTTTTTTGTAGGAAATTTAATTCTCTACAACTTTGTTCCCTACACTTTTTTTGTATCTTTAACCGTATTCGCAGCGTTCTCAAAAATATTGAAAACAGTATTAAAGATAAATTATAAACAATTATCGGTTTGCGTTCCGCCTAATATTTTTAAGAACGCTGCGAATACGGTTAAAGATACAAAAAAATGTAAGAAACAAAATTGTAGAGAATAAAATTTGCTACAAAAAAGTCCGCGAGACCATATTTCTATCTTCAACGGATTAGGTTTAAATTGCTTTAAAGGGTTCCTCTGGCACTGGATCACCAGTAAAAATGAAACGAATCCGTCGCTTCAGCGGTTTGGAACGTCTTTGGGACCTAAGCCATTAAAAATAGAGGTATGGTCTCGGAGACTTTTTACTAGAAAATTTTATTCTCTACAACTTTCTTTCTTACATTTATCTTGTATCTCTAACCGTATTTGCAGCATTTTGAAAAACATTAGACGGAGCACAGACTTTAAATTTTAAATATTTTTTTTCTCATATTTTTCGTGAAAAATTTAGTCGTTCATTTTTCACAGCTTATTAACAATATAAAGCTCAACATTTTTGCAGTTTTTTTCAAGCAGTTAGTACACTGGTTGAATTTAAATTAATTTTTAAAACGATTCAAAACTGAGACGGTAAAACGCTCTAAGCGCCCTCATTTTTACTTCGCCGTACTACTTTTTTTGGGTCCAAAAAATTGAGCAATTTTGTATCTCGTTTCGTTGATCACTTGATAAAGTTCTTCAGTCCTGTTATTTGTGGTTTTCTTCGAAAATCTTATACTAGTGACCAAAATGGTAGAAAAACAGAAACAATTTTTTGTATCGTTGTTAAACAATTATTTAATTCCAATATGCATTTGAAGGTTAATGTAGAATAAAAATACATGTGTCGTGGTATAAATTTATCAGTAAATTTTAATTTTCAATAAAAAACAAAACGTATAAAATTGTTATCAAGTGGTCGCGTACTAAACAAAATATTTGAATTTTTTTGGTACAATTACCTTATTTTTATCGTTGTTCTAAGTATTAGTACTTTGATCGGAATTTACTATGGCTTTTTCGGAACCAAACAAAAAACTATTAATGAGTACTTATTTGGAGGAAATAAAAATGAACTTTTTTCCAATAGGAATATCTCTTGCCGTGAGGTAAATTTTAACGCACACTTTATTTGGGTTTCTAAAGACCACTCAAATATGGATATTTTTACACCAATCGACGCGTCTTCAGATAAGATATAATTGTTACCATTGCGCCAAAACGCTAACTTTATAAATAAAGCGGTTATTTGTAAAACAAAATTAAAATGCCATTTACTTTGCATTAGTTGGAAAGAGATCTCGCTTTAAGATGGTCATTAGAGTGAGATCTACCCCTTTCTTTCCAACTAATGCAAAGTAAATGGCAGCATTTTAGTTTTGTTTTATAAATAACCGCTTTATTTTTATAGAGTTAGCGTTTTGGCCCAATGGTAACAATTATTTCTTATCTGAAGACTCGTCGATTGGTTTAAAAATATCCACATTTCAGTGGTCTTTAGAAACCCATATAAAGTGTGGGTTCTCAGTAAATAATAATTTTCAATAAAAAAACAAAACGTATAACATTGTTTTCAAGTGGTCGTGTACTAAGCAAAATGTTTGAATTTTTTTGGTACGATTACCTTATTTTTATCGTTGTTCTGAGTATTAGTACTTTGATCGGAATTTACTATGGCTTTTTCGGAACCAAACAAAAAACTATTAATGAGTACTTATTTGGAGGAAAAAAAATGAACGTTTTTCCAATAGGAATTTCTCTTGCCGTGAGGTAAATTTTAAAACTTTCTGATTTCAAAAAAAACCTGCATTTTAATTTTAGTCACTTTTCAGCCGTAACACTCTTGGCTGTACCTGCCGAAATTTACAAATTTGGAGCGTTTTATTTGTATGCTAATATTTCTATGGTTTTATTGGGTTTTATAACTGTCTACATTTTTCTACCAGTATTTTTCAACCTGCAAATTACATGCGTTTATAAATACTTAGAAAAGAGATTTGATAGAAGAACCCGATTATTAGCTTCACTATTTTTTGTAATTTCGGAAGTAATGAAACTTTCCATTAGCCTTTACTCTCCGGCTTTGGCCCTTTCAATTGGTAAAAAAATGACTAATGCATTTACAGGGTGTTTCAGGTAAACGGTCTCACCTATAGGTTTTAAAGTATTTAGCAATTTCTTGCATTAACAATATTTGAATTGCAAAGGATAATGTTTATTTAATTTGTTAAGTTCTTTTGGGACTTTACATACCTTCTGAATACGTTTTTCGGTTATAACCTTAATTTTTTTCTTTACTTTTATTCACAATCACCAAAGTAATATGCCGATTCCTAACCTTTTAAAGGTTGTGAAACGCGTCATTATATCTCATGAGAAGTAATAATATTACTTCTCTTGGGCGGTAATATGCAGGATAAAGTTACAAAAATATCGGGAATATTTTGTTTCATATTGTCGAGTTACGCAAAATATTTTGCTAAATTAGCATTTAATTGTTTCTGTAGCAGTTTTCTTACTTCTGGGGGAGCGCACTATTCGATTTAAACAATTTTAATATCAGATTCACACATTATTTCAATATTTTCTTTGACATTTCTGAAATGTCAAAAATCAAACGCAATTTAGATGGCCTACCGCGTTTGGACCTTAACTTTGTTAGAATTTTATTTTATTCAAATTTTTGACTAAAAATGATGTGATTGTGAATAAAATAGCATGCAAACCTCGGTGGTAATGGCATTACCCCTTGTGCTTTATCCAATCTCGAGGTTTCGCCTCTCGATCGTATACATAAGCATTCCGGGTAATGCCATATTTACCACCTCGTTTGTAATGTACTATTTATGTTTTCAATTACGTAACAGTAAGTATTTAAATACCAAAAACTGTTAGTGAGACCGCTTCTATGGAAAACTCTGTATAATGTCGACAAAATTTTAATTTAATATTTTAGTTACCGGCTTTCACGTCCACTTGATTATAATTGTTATCAGTGCTATTTGTACATTTTACACGGCAGTTGGAGGTTTAAAAACAGTGATATGGACTGACTTTTTTCAAATAGGGATAATTTTTTTATCGCTTATAGCCGTCCTTATTTTTGGTTTCGCTGCTTCAGAAAATGTTTGGAACACAATACTTGTCGGTGGAAGACTTGATATTTTTGAGTAAAACATTTCCTAAGTACATCTACCTCTAATGAAAAGAAAAAGTTTCAGCTTGGATCCTACAAAAAGGGATACATTTTGGACATTTATTATTGGATTTACAATTCATTGGACCTATTACGTCAGTCTTACACAAACTGGTGTCCAAAAATATTTAACACTGCCTACACTAAAAGATTGCAATAAGTGAGTAAACATTTTCAATAAAGAAATCTGAATTAAATTTTGATATTAGTGCAGTGAAAATTTTTGTCGTTGTGATGGATTCAATCACAGTAATTTGTGTCTTATTGGGATTTTTAATTTATTCTCAATATGCAAACTGTGATCCTTTACTAAATGGAAAAATCCAAAAACACGAACAGCTAGTACCTTACTACATTATGGAAATTGCTGGAAATTTGCCCGGAGTTGTCAGTTTAACTCTAACTGGTTTATTATGTGCTTCACTGAGGTATGTTCTTTTATTTTAAGGAAGAACAAAATAAATTTTAATAATTCTAGCACAATTTCGTCAAGTTTAAACTCAATTTCCGGCGTCATTTATAAAGATTTTGTTACAAAATTTATAAAAAGTGAAATTTCTGAAAAAACGGCTGGGTATATTTTACGATTCATTGTGGTTATTGGTGGTATTGTACTTCTTTCGATTGCCTTCATTATAGAGCTCTTAGGTGATATTTTTCCTTTAGTCATGAGTGTGACAGCAGTTGTAGATGGACCGGTGCTTGGCTTATTTGCATCGGGATTTCTAATTCCAAAAATGAATGCCAAGGTAAAATTAATATGAGTTTTTTTTGCAATTATAATGATAATTTTAGGGAGCTTTTGGTGGAGCTATTTTGTCCGGTATTATCCAAGCAATGATAATAATTATTTCAAAAATATATTTATTTAATAAGGCAATTGTTACAATTCATAAACCTTTGTTAATCGATGGCTGTGATAATCAAACTATTTGGAGAAATTCTTCTCTAATCAGCCTTAATCATACTTCACATGACTTAACAACAGGGTATAAATTAATGATGAATGATGAAAATTGATTCTTTTTTTATTTTTTAGGAGCAAACCATTTTTTATATTTCGTCTTTCACATCACTACCAGTGTTTATTTGGAGCAATTGTAATGATAATTATTGGTCTAATTATAAGTCACTTCACCAAGAGGAATAATTTACCAGTTGACAAAATGTTATTCAGTCCTGTTATTCATCGATTTCTATCTGAAACTTCAACAGCAGAACAAGGTCAAGAGTTACAAGAACTTATGACAAATCACAAGAAAAAATGTGATGAAACAAAATAATAATTTAGTTCTAATAATTACAATAATTAAACCTTGCAGTTTGAGTTCAATAGATATAATTACATATAAATGTTACAGTTTCATAATGGGTTGCAAATCCTTTATGTTTAATTACCTCAGTGCATCTTTTCTGCATGGAATCGATTTAATTTATTAATATATTCTAAGCTTACGTTTTTCCACGTTATTTTTACGGTTTAGATTAATTCTTGTTTTGAATTGAAACCTCGACTGTTTTCTTCTCTTAATTGACGATCAATATGGTCCCAAAGATTCTCAATATGATTGAGATCTGAGCAGGCCATTGCATTACAGGTATTTGTTCCTTTAAAATCCAATCTTTTACAACTTTGGCTGTATGTTTGGGGTCATTATCGTGTTGAAAAGTCCATCTCAGCGACATATTATCTTCAGCAAAAGGAAGCATTTCTTCTCTTAAAATACGAAGATAAAGAAATCTATCCATTATTCCATCAATAACGTAGAGTGGTCCTTCTCCGTGACCGGAAAAACAACCCCAAAACATAGGGTTGCCACCACCATGATTCAAAGTCCCTTTTGTGTATTTAGAATTAAATCTGTTCTGTTTTGGTCGTCTTACCCACTGAATTCCGTCTGAGCTATGCAGATTAAACTTTGATTCACCGGAAAATAACACATTTTTCCATTGAGTAGGTGACCAATTTAAATGCTCTCTAGCAAATTTCAATCTGCGCTGTGTATTTTTGGCAGAAATAAACGGTTTTGCTGGTTTTTGCCCATAGAGTCCAAATTCATTCAGGCTTCGTCGAATGGACCTCACTGATATACCCACATTTGGAATTTGTTGTCTTATTTTTACAGCAGATAAAAATGGATTATTTTGAGAAAGTCTTTTAATTTTTTTATCAGTCACGTTATCCGTTTTACGCGGTCTTCCACTTTTTGGACCACTTACTAAAGTTTTTCTTTTTTTAAATAAGGTAATTGTTTTCGATACAACACAGCGATTTAAGTTCAATTTGTTTCTCACCCGCCTCAAATTTGTCTACAGGCTGATTCTTAAATAGACCGACAGAATTTTATCACAGCTTTCCAAGGATAAATGGAAATAATCTGTGCCCTTTTTACGTTCATATTTTTTAGGGGCAGAACCCCCTTGATCCGTGCCATTAACGGTGTTTATAAATTGTTGCAATAATCAAGTATATTTTCATCAAATTAATACTATGGTTTCCACTACCTGTGCTAATACTATTTAATTACGAACACTTCAGTGGCGTACGCTTTACCTCGAAAATAACTTTAATAAATTTTATTTGGAGAACGGTTAAACTAAGAATTTTTTCAATATTTTTTCCAGCATGTTCTCATTTGATACTACCAAGGATAAAATTTTGTCGGTCTATTTAAGAATCACCCTGTATAATTAGTTTTCTCAAGTCTTGAGACAGTTGTTTACCTTTAGGCATAATTACAACTCTTTAAAGAACAATTTTTGTAGGAACTGTTTTGCACTGACGTTGTAATTAACTTTGCAATAGGTAAACTGAAAATGTTTCTTTACTTTTGTCCTTAGCAAAATAGTAAAAAGTTCACTGTATTTAAAAACCTTATCCAACTTGACTAAAAAGCTTATAAAAAATTATCTTAAGTAGAAGTAAGTCTAGTGCACATAAATCGTTTTCGTTCTCATATTTATATGGAAAATAAATAAAAAATTCAATTGTTTCTTTACTTTTGGACGGCACTGTATATGGATTAAATACCGAAATTATAAAGTCTATTAAAAATATAATAATAACACCTATAAACTAAGTTAATTGATTTTTGCATAACTGAAAATATTTTTCCAGATTCAAAAGTTATACCAGTATATAAGAACTGATCCCAACGACCAAAAGAATTATCGACCAATATCTTACTTCTCATTTTTAAACTTTTTGAAAAGTTATTAATGTCCCAAACCTTGAAGTTCATAAATGAAAATAACATATTGTCTAATAGTTAGTTTGGATTTAGAAAACAATTATCCACATCTCATGCAGTTCTAGCTTTTGTTGACGACATACTTAAAAACTTTAAAGAAAAAAATATATGGAGCCTTGTTTCTAGATCTTAGTAAGGCATTTGACACAGTTTCGCATGATATACAGGGTGTTTCACACAACTTTACGAGGCTTGCGCCTAATGTACGCACCCAAATATACAAAATTCACAAAACACTAGATACAAAAAATACACATTTAATTATTCAATTTTTGTAAACTCATGACAGTAGTTGTCAAACTAATCACTGTTTCATTAATAGTCATAAACTGCAGTTTTTCAGAAACAATTATCTATTGTTCTATCAAGAGACGGCATGAACATGATTCTAGTTTATCTATCTTAATCACTAACTAACTAAAATGTTGTAATTTTTTAAAGGGTGAACAAACTAGAAAAGATTATCTAATTTTTCAAATTTTGTAATCGAGTTCGTATCGGAATATGTATTATTGATTGCATTTTACAGGCGCAGGCCTCGTAAAATTATATGAAACACCCTGTATTACTTAAAAAAATAGTCTACTCGTACTACAATATGGACTTTGATAGTGTTAAATTAATTGATTTGTACTTGAAAGATAGCGTTCAAAAAGTGAGTCTAGATGGTGTCTTATCTGGCGAACGTAACATAGAGTATTGCATTATTTTGTGGGAACACACTGGTTTAACAACAAGGATTTTCAGGCTACAACTTCGGACTGCGGACTGAGTTTACAAGTTTTTTTTTTAACTTTGATTTTACGCCAAAACTGCAAAGGAAAAATATTTTTTGCTTCAGGTGAAACGGGTAAATCTAGGTATAATTAAAACTTCATTATTCTGACTGATTCAGTGGAAAGAAAAGTTCATTTTTCTCTTGATTTTGGACTTAATTTTTCTCTTCGTTTTAAATCCCATCACATTAGCGGTTTTACTTTTTTGACAAGGGTGTACATAAGTACATAAACAAGTTCCCTTTTTCACATCCTGAAGAAATTACTACACAATAAAAATTCTATAACCCACTTATACAGGGTGATTCTTAAATAGACCGACAAAATTTTATTACATCTTCCTAAGGATAAATGGAGACAAACTTTACCCTTTTTATGTTTATACCTTTTAGGGGCAAAACCCCCTTGATCCGTGCCACTTACGGCGTTTATGAATTGTTGCAATAATCAAGTACGTTAATACCATGGTTACCACTACCTGTGCTAACACATCAGTGACGTTCGCTTTACTTCGAAAATAAATTTTATTTGAAGAACGTTTAAACAAAGAATTTTTTAAATATTTTTTCCAGCATGTTCTCATTTGATACTACCAAGGATAAAATTTTGTCGGTCTATTTAAGAATCACCCTGTATGTATAGGAGAAAATCATAAAGTCACTCATCCAGTTAACTTTGCTTTCATAGGTAAGGAAATACGCGTTGACAGATCAGAAAAATGATATACCAGAAGGTATATGAAACTTGTAAACCATAATTATTATGAATAGTGAACTAGGCACCTAATTGTTTCAAAAAACCGTTGTTTTAAATTTTAAGGTGAAAGAAATAAAAGAAAACAAATTACTACGTGCATACTACTACATACATTACTACATGCATTAACATGATCCTCAAATTTCTGGCTTAATTAAATTAACAAAATTGAAAGCGTTTTCAAGGAAAATTACATTTGCGTCAATCCGAATTTTCGATATTTTAAACGAGGCAGAAGAATATTTTGGAGAATTTGAGACTTGCATTTTAAAAGAAGAAACGAAATTAAAGTTAATTTTACACTCGTTCATGAGTATATTTATACAGGTGCGCCAGAACTTGCGTCCCAGAGGAAAATGCCATATAAGGTAAGATACCAGGAACATGGAAAAAATGTAAAAAAAAATTTATCTATAAAAATTTCGAAATTATCAGGGTTTACACTTTGACTCTATTTATTTCTGTTGCAAAAATAATTTTTCAAGTTTTTTTGCTATAGACTATTAAAAGAGGAAACAAGGAAGCTGTATCCTAAATTGTAACTCTATTCAATGTTATTTGTGGCTTTTATTGTCAAAATTTTTGTTCCTTTCGACAGATAGAATTTTTTAAACATTTTTTTCATGTTCCTGGTATCTTACCTTACTTAAAAAAAAATCTGGGGCGCGAGCTCTGGCGCACCCTGTATATAAAAGAGTTCCGTGACTGACTGACAGACAACGCACAGCCTAAACCACTGAAGCTAGAAACATAAAATTTGGCAGATATGTTTCTTTTTGATTAGAGGTCCGCTAAGAAAGGATTTAAAAAAATCAATCTCTAAGGGGGTGAAATGGGGTGTAAACTTTTAAATAAAGATAGAAACAAAAAAATTGGAAGATATGTTACTTAGCGTTTGTAAAGGTGCACCAAGACGAGATTTTTCAAAAAAAATAAGTTAAAACTTATTTACTCCCTTAGAAAAGGAGGTGAAACGGGGTGTATACGTTTAAACAAAAATGAAAACATGAAATTTGGCAGATACGTTCTTTACAGGATGTACAGGTCCGGTAAGAAAGGATTTTTTGAAAATCAATCTCTACAGGGGTGAAATGGGGTGTAAATATTTAAACGAAGATAGAAACAAAAAATTTAAGGATATGTTCTTTAGCGGTTGTAAAGGAGCACTAAGACGAGATTTTTAAAAATCAGTTTCTAAGGAGGTGAAATAGGATGTACACGTTTAAACGAAGATAAAAACATGAAATTTGAAAAATAGATGGAGAGTGAAGAAGTGCACTAATAAGGCACTTCTCAAAGACCAACCTATAACGGAATGCAATAAGGTGTAGACATGTAAACGAAAACATATACTTATATGAAATTTAGAATTTTTATTTTTGAGGGTGTAGAAGTGCACTAAGAAGACACTTTTTGAAAATTCAACGAGGTGTCATTTTCT